TTGAGAACCTTTATTAAAAAAAAATTATATTTCAAAATTTTATATATATTTTTTAAAAAACAATAAATAAATTAAATAATTTTTACCTGAAGATTGATGAGTATCATTATTATCTTCGATTATTGTCTCACCCAAAAATTGATAAGTATTATTATTATTTTTGATTATAGTTTCACCAGAAGATTGTTGAGTATCGTTATTATCATCAACTTTAATTATATTAAAAGATTGTTGAGTATCATTATTATTATCATCTACAATTTCATTAATAGATGGTGCAGACTGAAATTCTCGTGAACTACTTTCATTGGATGATTTAGTAGAAGATAAATTTTCATCTGATAAAGATTGTTGAAGGTTATTATTATTAGTTGCATTATTAGAAGATAATACTGTTCAAGAACTTGTTGAAAATGATGTTTTTTTATTTTTTGGAGGTGTTATGTTTTTGGAGCAGAGATGCCCTTTTCATGTGCTTCCTTTATTTTAGTCTTACAAATAGTTTCTACTATAAAATATATAAAATATATAATAATAATAAAAAAAATTAAATTAAAAAGAAAGAAATTAAGAAGTAATAACGATAAGAGAATAAAAGTATTTATATATAAATTACTGCAGCTTGACGTATATTCATATATTGAATTTTAGTTGGTAAAAGTAAGATGTGAATTATATTAAATAATTAATATAATTAATTTAGCTGTTTACGAACTCGTATTTTTGCTATTAAAAAAAATAAATTAAAAAGAAAGAAATTAAGAAGTAATAGTGATAAGAAATAAAAGTATTTATATATAAATTACTGTGGCTTGATATTGGATTTCAGTTGGTAAAAGTAAGATAAGAGTTATATTAAATAATTAATATAATTAATTTAGCTGTTTATGAACTCATATTTTTGCTATTAAAAAAATTAAATTAAAAAGAAAGAAATTAAGAAGTAATAATGATAAGAGAATAAAAGTATTTATATATAAATTACTGCAGCTTGATATATATTCGTATATTGTAAGAAGAATAGATCTTTAAAGTTCCAAGTTTTCTGATACAAGTAAAAAAACTATAAACACTCTTATCAAATATAACTGCCTCTTTCATAACATTTCAGTTTGTAGAATAATCGACTTGCTGGACTTAACTCATTTGACTATTAAACTAATTCAATTTGTATTTCTAATTATTGTATACTTGAAGTTTCTTCAATT